GCCTATCCCTGCAGGCACACTACCCAAACCTCCTCCACCAACTTCACTGCCAGTGCAGCCAGACTGAGAGTGCCCCCTCCAGGAGGCCCTGAGGAGCAGCAGCTACTGCTAAATAAGAGGTGGGCAATACCCTATGCAGTCTGCAATGTGAACTGTAGGCAACCTATGGGCTTGTTAGATTCAGGAAAGTTTTTACTGAAATAAGTTGGATTTGGAGTTTCTTTTGACACCATGGAAGACCTACCAACACCCTCATATAGGGTGAAAGCCTGGGACTTCACCCTTCCCTTACCGTATTTCCACCCACCCACCCCACTCCTTTAGACAGGACCAACCCTCAATCAGATGTTGCACTAAATGTGCACAAGGGTCACACCTCAGAACAGGATGGGACCAAAGGATCAGAGGACTGGACAGTGGATTCAGGTAGAGTTAATAAAGCTCATCTGGGAGGTAAGAGGCCTGAATCAGCCTCAAAAGGAATACCCTCCCTTCCAGAGCCAAGGGGGCAAAGAGCAGGTCTGGAGTTGGGAAGGGAGTGTGGATTAGCCCCTTTCACAGACAATGGCCAGGGGTCAGAGATAGAGCCAATACTGGCTCAACTACACCAGGGGAATGCAGGGACTAAGAAAGAAACTGGGGTAGAAGGACGGGGTTCCTGAGGAGCCCTAACTTGGGGGCCAGGGCAGTCAGAATGGGAGAGGGCTTGTATGTAGTCCCCTTTGCCTCAGAGCTGTCCTGGGTGGTAGGCGGAGAGGGCTGTGAGGGGAGGGGGAGAGCAGGGAGGGGGACTGCCCAGCTGGAAGAGGCCTTGTCTAATTGTGCCTGATTAGTAGAGAGGAAGAGAACAGGGCGAGTGATTAATAGTCGCGGCAGTCACCAGCGTGTGGGGAAGGAGGGTTGGGAGGGAGAGGGAAGCCTGAGAGCCAAGAGGGGACAGAGACAGTGATGAGCCTACAGGGCCTTGGCCTCCTGCTCTCCCAGGGGATGTCTGCACCCTTGATCCTGGGAGCCCTAGAGAGAGGGGCTGGGGCCTACTACTCCTGCCTCCCTGGGATTCCCTCCTCCTTCCTACCTTGATTTTTCAGACAGGAAAATGGTAGAGAAGAGACCAAAGTCATGTCTGCCCCAGAAGAAAGGTGTCACATGGTACTTCCAAGAATCCCAAAGCTCCCAACCCCCAAACACTGACTCCTTCCTCAGCTTAACATAGGACCTCAACTTGATTTGCAATCACAGCCTGCATCCATCACCATAAGCATATCCTTTAGTCCCAGCAGTAATTCCAGCCTTGCCCCAGCCAGGCAATCTGAACTTCATTCACCAATAGGTTGTCCAAGACAACAGCCACTAGTCAGGCATGCCTAATCACATTTCAAATGCTCAACAGAAACATGTGGCTAGTGACTACCATGTTGAACAGTACAGATACGGGACATGCCATCATCACAGGTTTATTGACTACACTGACCTACAGAGTGTATGCACACTGTTGCACAGATGCCTGTTTGGGAGGGCTATAATCTCAGAGGACGGTGTGGGCCCTAGGGTCACAGGGAGGAAAGACTAAAGGATGGAGAACAGTGGTATGCCAGAGCTGGGATCAGAAACCAGCAAGTGATGAACAGTGAGGTTAAAAAGATGGCCAGCGCAAGCCTGTAGTCCCAGCACTTGAGAGGCAGAGGCAGGCAGATCTCTGTGAGTTCAAGGCCAGCCTGGTCTACATAGTGAGTTCCAGGACAGCTGGAGCTACAGGGAGACCCTGCTTCAAAAAGACAAAAAAAGAAAAATAGATGGCCAGGAGCTGAGGTGGCATTGATGACAAATGACACTTGCAGAGTATGTACTGCATGCATGCCAGGCAGTGTGCTAAACTCTTTAGGAATACCTCCTTAATCCTCACAACTACCCTATATCCCATGTAATGAATACACAATGGATGCTCATGGGAGTGCTTTGGTTTTCCCACACAACTGGACTAGAGCTGAGGCTCAAGTCCACATGATCACTAGGCTCCAGAACACACATGGTGTACAGGCCCCTGCTGAGAGGAGTTGCTGGCTTTTAGAGCCACCTTTGTATTGTACAGAAAAAGCAATGAAGGCTAAGGAGAAAGCGATTGCCGCCTGCTAAGTGGGTAGGCTGAAAGTGAGCCACGGTGGAGGAGGTAGACCTGGGGCAGACACACAGCTGGGGGGCTAGTGGTAGGAATCAGGGAGGAGAGCCATCTACAATGTCGGGTGGGGCATGGGGTGATGAAGGAGGCAGAAGTGGTAGTGGGTTGGTGTGAGGCTGACTATTGAGGGGAGAGAGAAAGAGAAGAGCTAGGTGCTTAACTAGAGGAAAGCTGGATGGAAAGGGACAGAGAGTCCTACCCCCAGCACCCTCTCTTTCTCTCCTCTCTGCTCTCCAAACTGTGGCCAACCCATCCCATTCCTTAAGCCTTCCCAGCCTTCTTTAGCTCAGAGTAGCCTCTCTCTCTCTCTCTGAACTCGGACTCTTACCACCTATGCACCTCATCTGGCAATTAATCCTGGCACCTTATGACACTGCCTGCATGGCTGGTTAACTCTTGCATGGTTGCTTAAGCTTTTGAGCATCCCTGTCCCTGTTCTACCATGAGACTGTAGGCAGCTTGAGGACAGGGATTGGGGACTAAGGTTTCCCTTATTTGCTGACCCCATAGACCCCAGCAAGGAGCCTGACGCAGAGTAGGCACACTGAACTGCATGTTGAGTGACTGGGAGTAAACGAAGGGATATTTGGGAGCATGGGGGTGAGAGCAACTGCAGTGGTATCAGAAGCAAAAGCAGCAGCTTAGGGGACTGGGGGAGGGCACATTACCCAGAGTAAAAATAGGCTGGAAAATGTGACATTTATTAACTTGGATTCCGGAGGAAAGGTCACAGCAGAGTGGGGAGTGGGAAGGAGGAAACAGGGAAGGCAACAGAAAACACATAACAGCCCCTTGCTGAAGTCTGTCTGTCACAGTCACTGACCATTTCACCACCCACTCCCGGGCAGGTGCCATCCAAACTGGCTTATGTATTCATCTCCCCCACCAAAAAACCCCTAAATCCCCATCATAGACCCCCACAACCTCACCACAGAGCTGATTATGGACCTCATGTCCTCACGAGAGGCCTCATGTCTTCATTTCTCTTTGCCAGTCTCACCCAGGCAGTGTACCCATCTTTCCCATTGCCGTGAGTCCCAGCCCAGCTCCTAACTGTCTGAGACTCAGTCGAGTGTGCCAGGTCCAGGAGGAACTATGTGCAGCATATGGGGGACAAGATGTGGACAGGAGGGTACAAGTCTAGGCTAGGTTAGATATAGGAAACAGGAACCCCCAAAAGGGATTCTGTCTCTAGTGCTTGCTTTGCCCCACTTCTCCTGGGTGTCCTGGAAAAGCCCCATTGCTGAGACCCACAAGCTTCCTTCTCCAGCCCCAGGGTACCAAGGGCCTATGGAATGCTTCCCTTGCTCTACCCTGTCCTCCCCAGGATTCCAGAAATTCTTGGCCTGGATAAAGGGAATCATCCCTGTATTCTCTGGGCACCTCTTATCCTTGTGGCCAGCACAAATCCTCTATCACCCTCCCTTCATTTCCTAAGCTCTCTCCATTTCTTACTCTACTGACATGTGTCATTACCCTTCCCTTTTCCTGCCCGCCCAACCCAGGCCTGAGACAAACTCTAGCTCAGTGACACAAAGACCCCATTGATTTCTGCCCCATCAGCATCTGCTGAGACTAGGCTCTCCCCCTCCAACACCAACACAGAGAGACTTAAGACAGGAGTCCAATGGATTCCAAAGGTCATACTTACACTTTACATCCCACTTCTTTCCTGGGGATTCTTCCAGGTCTGGCTTTGGGAGGCAGTGATTTTTCCTAAAAGATAGGGTCTATACCTAGACCATAGGCTAATAGTCCCTGATTCCACTCCTGGTAAAATCTCCTCCCTCCAGATCCTCTTTCCATGTAATTCCCCCACTGTCTCCACCTACACAACCCAATGGCAAGAGGCCCCAGACACTGCAGGCATGGTGGTGGGGCTACGAACCTGGTTGATGCGTGTTTCGTGGTAACACTGAGGCAGTGAGTGAGAGAGCCTGGGGGTGGGGAGCTGGCCTCTGAGGAGAGAAAGTCCCCATTGCTGCTAGAAGCTGGGCCTGAACAGGTACTGTCTTGACACCACACATTTTCATACATGCACCAGGCAATGGTCACAAGGATGAAACCAGAGACACATACATAATGCTGGGAGTCAACTGGATACTGGGGTCAGGCGTCTCACACACCATGAATAATAGATAGCCTGTGAGCATGAGTGAATGGAGCCCTGATAGACCAGAAGATGCCCAAGACACGCCCCCCCCCACCTGGCTGTGGGCGGTATACAGGGGACAACAGGCAAAGCCAGCACCCCACTCCCGGTGAGGGTACATGTGTTTGTGTTCACATACATAGGACCAGTGGTGCCAGTGGTCTCTGAATGGAGAATGGGGAATGGTGGTTGGAATAGACTGGGGGGAGGTGTCAGGGGCTGCCATGCTATCCTCAGCATAACCCCATTCTTGGCAGCTATAAGCTGGGGTTCAGGCATGGAGATGAGTAGCTCTCTGGATGGGTGGGTGTGCAGGTGTGCATGTGAGTATAGTGACAGGGACACTGAGTGTATGTGAGAGGGAGTATGCAGGAAACTGTTCCTGAGCAGGAGTGTGTATGTGATTGTGTGCCAGCTCACAGGGTGAGTTATGCACATAGAGTGAATGAGTGATTCCCAGTGTGAGAGCCAGAGCCAGGCAAGGGAGCAGCAGGAAAAGGGGCCAGAGGAGGGCACTGGCAAGTGGGAGAGGCCGAGGGGCGCATGAAAGAGGGATGTGTGAGGACGGCTGTGAAGGGGGGTGTGCGAGAAACACAGAGACGGAAGAGACTGGCACCCAGTGTACAGGAAGACCATTTCCATGCAGCTGGCTGGCCAGAAAGCAGCCCCGAGTCCTCCCTAGCCAGGGACCCGCCCCAGGACCCCTTTCCCTGTCACCTTTATTTGGTAGGAAGAAGAATCCAGTAGCCTCAGAAGAAAAGGGAAACGAGCAAAGTGGGGCTCAGTTGGTCTTGCCTTGGGATGAGGAGCAGCTTCAGGACCCTGAGTTCCTTCCCAGGATACCCTTGGCCCCCAACCCTGGGCACTGCAGCAGCAGGACCAGAAGAGGAACGGCGCCATTGGGGTAAGCCCCTCTGAGCATTAGCTGCTCCAGGGTTAGGGAGCCAGAAGGAAACACCACTGGGGGAGACATGAGGCCTGCCTCTGGTGGCAGAAGGAAGGGAAGCCCTGTTGAGGATGCCCTCACATACTACCCTCCACCTTCACACCATCCTGTGGCCACCCCAGGCCAGGTGGCCCAGCTGGCAAAACTTACCACAGAGAAGTTGCTGGCGGAGCAGTGGTGCCCACTGAAGTTGCAGCTCTTGAGCATATCAGCAAGCTGGTGGCCAGTGCGGTTGAGGATGTCTACCATGTCTGGTTCTGGGTAGCGCAGGCCAGCTGCACGGTGTCCATCCCGGTCTTTGGGGGGCAACCCTGTCAGATTGGCCAGGTGGAAGATGTCAGCATCACTGAGTGCCGAATGCCGGAAACGGTTGATGTTGCAGAGGGTGACAGCCGGGAAGCCTGCCACTGGGGCTGGGGCAGCAGGGTCCATGGCTACCAAGTGAGGCCGGGTCAGGTAGCCCCTCGCCAGGCCAGCTGCCTGGTACAGGAAGGCAGCCAGGGAGGTGAGTAGGGCCAGTGCCCACAGGGTTCTGCGCAGTCCATGGGAGCCTGGGCCACAGGCCCGGCCCAGCCCATGCAGAGTGCTGGTGCTGGCAAAGGTGGCCAGGTCCCGAGGGGCTGCTGCCCCCTGAGCAGCCCCCAGGAGACTCTGCTCATCCCCTGCCTCCTTCTCCTTGGGTTTTGCATCCTCCTCAGCAAATTTGATTTTGCACACAATCTCGATCGGCATCTGTCCCCGGCTGCTGGGACTGGCCAGAGCCTCACTGCCACTGTCCCTCCCTGGTCAGCAGCCCTGGTGCCCTCCGGAGTGGTGGTGGTGGCAGCGGCTGCTCTTCTAAACTCAGGGCAATCAGAAGGAGATTGGGGACAGGGTGGGGGCCTGAGGTGGGGGCGTCACTCCCACTCCCAGCAGCTCCACAGCCCTGGTGCTGCCTCTGCCGCTGCTGCCTCTGCTGCTGCTTGTCTCTCTCCTCGATCGTCTCCTTGTGGCTTCCCTTATCAGCACCAGCACAGCTGTCAGCCCCTGCGTGTGTCCCTGCGAGCGAGCGAGTGAGCGAGGGAGCGAGGGAGCGAGCGCTGCTCCGCCACACCGCGCAGCCCCAGCCGCTCCGCTCAGCATGTGCTCCCGAGCCCACCCCATGCTTAATAATTCAGGACATGTCAACAGCGTTTCACCGGCAGTACGGGCGGCAGGAGCCAAGCCAGGGAAGGGAACCCCCCCAAGCCCAGAGTGGGGATCCCCAGCTTGGGGGCACTCCCCAAACTCTTGCTATACCTTAGTCACTTGCGGGGGGGGGTCCCCAGATATCCCACTCCCAGGCCATCCAGGAAGAGTGCTATGCCTAGAGTGCTCAGCCTACTCCTTGCCACTTTTCTAGACCACACCCCATGAAGGTTCAACAATCTCTGACCCCCATCTCCTAACCTCCCTGACTCATGACTCTGTCCTTCAACTGATCCCACTGCCCCATTCACAACAGCTTCCAGGAACTCCTTGAGAGAGCCACTTGTTTGAATGAGAGAGGGAAGGAAAGGGAGGAAAGGGAGGGCAGGCAAGACAGACTAGGGAGACAACTCTGCTCCAAGATTTTTCTTTCCCTAGAGCTTTGCTGCTGATTTCAACACCAACCATACTCCTGCCCCCTCCAGGAGGGAGGCTGGCTCCCTTTCACTGACTTTGCTCTTATTCCCAGTCCCAGGCACCCATGTGACTGGGATAGAGGCCACCCTGACTGACTTGCACATCTGTGGCCACTTTACTTCCATAGTGGTCTCCAAATCCCTTAGCTATGACCAAGTATGGAGGGGAGCTGGATGAGCTAGGCCAGGGAGCAAAGAGAAGCTCAAAAGCAGGGGAGAGGATGTGGAGAGGAGGGAGGGGAGGAGCCCCATGGAGGTATACCCTGAGGGAGTGGGAAGATGACTTGGGGCTCCAGTGGGACTGCTATACTAAGGAAAACCATGCCCAGGATGTCCTGTCCCTGGTAGAGCTGGGCAGGGGAGCCCTGTAGGCTATCTTTTGTGGAGGGGGAAGCAGACACATGGATTATCAACACAGGTAGGAGGCATAAGGGGTATAAACCTGGGTTGGCTCACTTTAATAACCCCTGTTGGGAGGAGTAGTAAGAATGGGCCACTTGCCCCCTGGGGGGGCACGTGAAAGTGTACTTGTCCCGGAGGGAAAGGGGGGGGGCTGATTAATCGGGGCACTAATGAGCAGCAGGGAGAGGAAGCTCGGAGGGGCGGGGGAAGCGGCTCCATCGATCCAAGCCGCGGTACCAGCAGCTGAAAAAAAAAAGTGAGAAGGGAATCGATCTGAGGGAAACGGCAGCTGCTGGGGATTAGAGCCCGAGGTCCACCCGCTGCCCAACGGCCACCACTCCCCTGCGTCAGGCTGGCCCCCGCAGTCTCAGTCTGATCCTAGAAGGAGGGACCCAAAGGTGGCTCCCCTGGGGGGAAGGGAGCTGCTCAGTCCACCCTGGTTGCAAGGCCAGGTCAGGCCCCAGTGAGGGTCAACCCTACCTAGGCATGCATGATGCCCTACGTAGGTTGTCCCCAGCCTTTCAGCAAAGTGGCTTTCCAGGGCCCCACAGCTGGGTTTTCCCATAAGCCTCCCATGAGTGTAGGTCAGCCCTTCCCCAAGCTGGGAAGGTAAGACCCCCTGAGGGCAGGTTCAGGTGATGCTTCTGACTGGGACACAGCAGGAGAAAGTGGAGCTGGCCCTGGAAGCAGCTGCTAAGTTCCTACTCAAGGATGACCACAGACAGCCCCCTCTCTACCCCATGTTCTGGCAGTCCTCTCCCACACTCTCCCCTCCCTAGTAGACTTCCAGACCTTTCCAAAGCGCCCCACCCCACTATTCCTCCCCATCCTTCTCTCTCTCTCTTCCCTTTTCTCCCAATATTGATTTTTCTTTACTGTTTTTTTTAAAAGGTGATTTAATTGCTTTTTTAAGGTTACTTCAGTCTGGGGCTCTGCCAAGAAAGTGGGAGCTGCCCCCAAGCCTTCCCCAGAACTTGCTACTGCCCTGGCCTCCTGTTCCTGAATTCTCTGGCATCTGCTGAGATCTCAGGGTCACGCTGCTTCTACCACACACTGACCTCCATCAGGAGCCCAGACGACACCCTCTTTCCCCCTGCGGGGTAGCAGGAAGCCGTTCACTTCTGAAAGGAAAGGGGCTGGGTAGTAAATGCATAGGGGGGGTTATGTGGGGCTGTGGGAGAACTCCAGGCTACTGGGAATGAAGCTTCAGTTTGTTGCACACACAATCCCACTCCCACCATTGCCCGGTGGCCAGCTGTCTCTAATTGTCCCCAAGTCCCCACCATCCAATCTCTTAGACCTCCAGGAATCTGGTTTTGCTCAGTGGGGGCCCCATCCTTCCAGCCCATGTCTTGGCTTTTACCACCCACTCCTACCCAGCCCCTTCTGGCCTCCTTCCTATCCTTCCACACCCCCTTCGCCTCTGGCCCTGTACCCTCTTCTCCCTCTCCCTGCTTCCCTGCCTGCCTGCCTCCCTCTCTGCCCGGCTGCAGTTGGGTGATAATCTCCCTCATTTAGCCTCCCGGCTGCTTCCCCGGCTCATTGCCCAGCTGGTCCCTGGGGCCCGGCCCAGCTTCTTCCCCACCCCCACCCCCAGCCCTGCGCCCAACTCCCCCAGCCCCTCCTGGCTTCTCTCCCCAATCTCAGGGGACCAGATGCCCCTTGCTAGTGAAGCACTAGGGCCGAGGGGAGCTGTCCAGGACCTGAGCTAGCTGTGAGCACAGAGGTGGGGCTGCTAGGAACCCTGGAGCTGGGTGTATGGGGAGGAGTTGCTCTCTGTCAAGATGTGGCACCCCATCCAGGGCTCCTCTGCTCTCCAACTGTCCCCATTCCCCAGATTTGTTCAGAGCCCAATTCTCTACCCCCTGAAAGGTGAATTAGGCTTTCTGAAACTGAGAAATGCAGCTAGACTGGGAGATAAAGAGAAGCTAGGGTTGGGCATGCGGGCAAAGGGGGAGGGGGCAACAGGGTGGGCAAGATGGTTAGCTAGGGATACAAGGAGAATACTTGGATGTTTTATTTGGGCAAAATGCCCCAAAGGGAGACCCAGAAATCTCCCAGGATTCAACTTGAAGGGGTTCCCAAGAAGCCTATTTTCACAGTGCTGGGACCCCCAGGCTAAGCTGCATCTACTTGTTCCTACCATCTGTGGGCTCCTGACTGTACTCATAAACTACACAACCCTTGAACTCCTAGGCAGCATTATCCAGATGGAGTCTCATACCTCCTGCTGCCAAGGTGCACCTTCTAGCCACCAGCCCCAGCTCAGAAACCTGGCCCTGGTGCTGACCAGAGGCAGGGGAAGCCAGTGTGGGACATATGTGGGCCAGAAGGGACAAGGACGGGGAGGGTGTTGGCTGGGCCAGGCCTGGTGAGCCAGCAGCAGTGACAAACGGGCTGTGTGGAGGCCAAGGGGCGGGGGGGGGGGAGGAGGCCGAGGAGGTAGAGGAGGAGGCCGGGGAGGTGGAGGAGGAGGCCGGGGAGGGGGGGGGGGGGGGCGGGGGGGGGGGGGGGGGGTGGACGGCGGCTGATTTATCTGGGTTATTTATGCTGCGGACGAGGCAGGAGAAGCTGTTAATGAGAGTCCGGGCAAAAGGGGGGGAGGCAGGACGTGAGTTGAAGCGGCTGAAGAGGGTTAGCATCCCACCACCAGGCCCTGCCCCCACTGTCGCCAGTACTCTGCACCCCCACAGGATCTTCCTTGGGCCATCCTAGTGAAGCACCCACTCCTCCGTCTTGTACCCAAACCATCCCTATTTGGGCACTCTCTACTGGAGGTCATTCACCAGGAATGACGGGGGTGGGGCCCAAGATTAGGGGTATCTGAAGTTACTAGGGAGGTGACCAGGAAAGGGTGGGGAGAAAGAAGATACAAATCCTGGCTGGCCAGAAACTGAGGAAGTTTGTGGGGCCAGTGGAGGGGGCTGAGGTGGGAGAGGGAGGGTAGGGGTCAGTGAGCAGCCCAGTCTCCAAGCTGGGGCTGGAGAGAGGGCAAAGGGCACTTGGGCATCCATCTAGTGTCAGCCCAGAGCCAGAATGGGGCCTGAGTGGCAGAGAGGTTGGGCAGGAGGGCGGTGCTGGTCAGAGAGCAGGAAGAGGGGGAAGGAGGGAGAAGATCCAGAGGAGGGGGAGAGGGCTTTGCAGCAGGGAAAGCTGCTGGGAGCAGATAAGGCGGCACAGCAGCAGGAGGGATTAAAGCTCCTAAGGGGTGGTGGTGGTGTGGAGTGGTGGGAGGGGGCAGGGAAGAGAAGGTTGAGGGCAAGACACTGGGCCAAGGAGATGAGCAGGAAAATGAGATCTGTGAAGGGGCGGTTTAATCGGGAGCTATTAAATGGGAAAGGAAGAAAGAAGAGACTCTTGATCATCCGTTCTGGGAAGATCTTTCCTTCCATGGATGGAGTCTCTACATCTCACATATGGCCAGGAGTGGCAAAGCTAAGCCAAGGGATGTTCTGAGGAGGGTAGGAGACTGTAGGATTGCAGGGCTGGCAGAGACTGGCCCTAGGAGTTGTGTTGGAGAGACTGAGAGCACACAGCGCCTCCTTGAGGTGGCCAGTGGAACACAGGAGAGCACAGTGCCTAGTCAATTGCCCTGACATGAGACCCCACCATGCCCTCTTTGTGGGGAGGGGTACAAGCTTGGAAGTGGTTTCCCAGGGTGAGCCTGGGGTATCCCTTACCATTCTCTGTCCTCCCAGGAGGGTGTGCTTGGGGCAGATGAGACTCCCTGTCCCCTCCAGACCTAGCCTGGGACAGTTTAGGGGTGGTCTTGGTGACAGAAGGCAGCCATAGAGGTAAGAAAGGGAAAGAGAGGGGGATTCGGGAGAGAAGTGGGGGTGGCAGGCGGGGCTGGGTAATTGCGTGTTTGCCAGTTCTCCTGTCTCTGCACAGAGAGAGCGTGTGTTGGTGGGTGTAGCTTCTCTTTGAGGAGTGTCTGTTGGCAGAGGTGTCAGTGTGTCTATCTCAGGGGTCTAGGCTCTCCTTGGTCCCTGCCCCGCTTTGTGTTTTGGGGAGCATGGCTGTGGGCACACCCAGCTGTGTTCTGTGCTGATGCGGCAGATGTGGCGGGCCCCAGCTGTGCCTGCTTCCCGGAGAGGGGGAGGGGGCTGCAATCTGCTCCCCCATAATGGCTGCTGAGTGCCAAGGGGAGGGGACTGAGATAGAGGTGGGATTGGGGCTCTGGGCAACCCAGCAAAGGGAATGGGATAAGCAAGAGCTGTCCCCTCCACAACCCCCAGTTAGTGTTCTTGGCTTGCCCTCCTCACCTAACTTACTCCTGAAGCCCATCCAAATTTTTCTCCACTCAGTCCCTGTCCTCATCTCTCCTCCCATCGCCCCATCCAGCTTGGTGCCAGAGACCCCCCCCTTTCCCAGGCCCGCTCCCCCTCACTGATTTCACAGAATAATCTTTTTATGGAAACTGAAAAAAGCACTAATGGCAGGAACGCACCCCTCCCCCGCATCCCTCCCTCTGCCCCCCCCACTTCCCACCCCAGTTCCCTCCAGTTTCTCTCTTCTCAAACCCACCTCCAGGCCAGTGCCCTCCTACTCCTCTACCTCCACAGGGACAAGGAAGGTAGGGTGCAGGATCCCAGGGTAGCAGACAAGGGGGCTCCCCTCTTCTCTTGAGGCCGGGTGCATCTGCATCTTGGGCTGTGAACTGCCCCCTCAGATAAATGAGGCTTTAGCTCCTCCCAGTACAGAAGAGTGCTGGAGAGGACTGGGCACATCATCACCTCACCCTTAGATACCTTGCACACAAGTGACCCCTTCAGCCTGGGGTGACTTTGAAGACCTTGGCTTCTGCAACCCCCTACCTTCAAACGCTGACCCTTTCCCCTTCCTGTGCCTCTCCCCATTATGTCTCCACCCCCACTGGGTCTAGAAGGGGGGTCCCGGGGGCCAGGGCCTGACACAGACTTATTGGATTTCACGGTGTTTTGCTGAGAAAATAATTAAATTATCATATTTATGATGGAGCTGCCATGGCCTCTGCCAACCGCTTGGAACAGAAGGGTCAGGATAGGGGGAGGAGAGGAAAGGGACCCAGAGCCTGGCCTTGCAGGCCAGTCCTCTCCCAGCCCTTTTCTCTCCCAGGGATGAGTGGGTATACAACTCCCTACTGGTGGTGGCAGAGATGACAAATATGGGCTGGAGGCAGGATGGGAGGAAGCATTGGAAGGGGGCTTTAGAGAAGCAGTTACAGGTCAGTGTTGCTAAGACCCTGGGCCAACTCCCATGGCACTCTCAAAGCCCTCAGGGCCTGGGAGGTCACATCTAGTCCAGTCCCCAAGTCAGCCTTGGCTCAGCTCCCATATATCTTTCTGAGTGCCTGCCTAGGAAGCTGTGACATCCTGGGCTCTGTCCCAGACCCTGCTGTTGACAAGGCCCCAGCACCCTGCTGCCTGCCACCCCAGCCCGCTGCCAGGACCCCCTCCTCTCTCCCACCCAAACCCTGCCCCCCATTCTCTTCGGGTAATTAGATTCCTCTCAATTAGCAGATTACGATCATTACCAGCTCATCTGGCAACTAAGCTCAGCACCCACAGCTGGGAAAAGGGGGGTGCCAAGAGGGGCACATTGGGGTCATGGGCAAACATGAGATGTGAGGAGAACAGGGCTGAGACCTGCCAAAAGATGTAGTGTGAGGTTGCCAAAAGGCGACCAATGCCTCTTCCAGTCTGGGGACCCCTGTCAGGGGAGTTCAGAGACAGAGACCAGAAGACTCCCAGGTAGGTGCAAAATCCCCACCTCCCCAAAGCCGGGCTGGGAGCAGATGGAGCTGGCAAAGCGTTAAACAGGCCAGGGCTGGGGCTCAGCAGGAGCTGAGAGCAGGCTGCAGGGTGGGTGTTCAGCCTGGGTTTGTGCCTCCCAGCAACTATGCCCATTGAAATCTTTCAGCCTTCCCTCAGCATTCTATAAAGCCTGGTTCCAAGCAGGGGCAAAGGTTGGGGGGCCAGGAGGCCAGGGAACCCTGAGGGCCTTCCTCCATCCAAAGCAGCTAGTGCAGAAGGCTGAGGCAGTGGGAGGGGGAGATTTACCAAGGCTCTGGATTCATTATTCATGAGCCAGCAGCAATGACTCCAATTTAAATGCTAATGTGGGGGGGCCTGCCTCAGCTGCCCCCCTTGCACCCCCACCCCTAGCCCAGGCACAAGCAGAGTCCAAGATGGCTCCAAGGTTCACAGGGGTTTATTTGGGAATGGGGAGGGAGATCAGGCATCCCTGGCCACCCACATGGCTCCCCACATGGGAAGATTCTGTCTGGCTTCCTTGAGTCCTTTCTGGATAGACCTGGCCAAGCAGGCAGCAGACCAAAGGAGAGTAGGCAGGAGTCCTGGGTGTTTTGGTAGCCTCCTCACAGGATGATCTGGTTGGTGAAGCTGCGGCTCAGCTCCTTGTGTGGCAGAACAATCGAGTTCAGGATAAGCACTTCAGCAGGGATCCGGACACGGCAGCCTGCAGCATGATGAGGGCATCAGGAGGGGTCATGGAAGGTGATGGAGCAGGGGGGTGGATGAGGCCACCTGGAGCAGGTCATGGGAGGTCATGGGGCAGGGAGCTGGGGGCCCTGGTGAGGCCAATGAGAAGGATCCCTCCCTGCCCATCTGTGTCCCTGGCCTCATGCCCCCAGTGACTCACTCAGGCCTAGCACCCAGCAGGCACTTGGTAAATGTTTGCTAAAGGAAGAAACACATATACTCACACACTTGCACTAGAACACAGGCTCCCTGCAGACCTCCAAATACCACCTGTGGAGCTTCCTAGCCCTTTCCCCTAACCCCAGGAGCCATACCCAGGATAGTGATGGCAGGAAGTAGCTTTCCATCCTTGAAGAGACTCTCACTGTCCATGCGAGCTCGAGGGTCGTTGGGGTTGGGGTCATTTGGGGTCCCTTCTACACGGGCCCAGCGCCCCACAGTGCTCCCCCAGCCCACGATGCTGTGTAGAACACAGGTATGCTCCTGCCAAATAGGATGGTTCGAGGTAAGTGGGGTAGGGAGCAGGAACAGGAGGGTGTAGAAGCAAGCTGCAGAGCCTAGGGGCTCAACCTTCTTGCTCTAGGAGGCATACCTGGGCCCTCCCGGACCTCAGCCTTTTGGGTATCATACAGTGCCATGTGCCTGGCGCCTACCTGCAGTGTGGCTCCGTGGAGGACAATGCTCTCTCGTAGCCGCACCCCCTCACCTACAGTCACCCCCTTCCCAATGGAGACATTGGGGCCCAGCTGTGAAAAGGAACACCATTATCATGAGAGTGAGGGAACTGGGGGTACTTGAAGGTAACAACAGATTATAACAAAGCAGGGAGATGGAACAGCACCTTGAACTTAGGCAGTCTCTGGGCACCCCTACCCACCCTGTCAGCCTCTCCTGAGGTAGAGACCACAGCTTACCACAGCTGATGGGGCCACTTTAGCAGTTGGGTGGATGTAAACATTTCCTAGAAGCAGAAGAAACAACCTGGGGGCAGATATCCCAAAACACATGTGGATAGGGAGGGGCAGGGACTAAGCCTACACCTCTTCACCTGAGGTCAAGAGTTTAGGCTCCAAAGGCAGTGAGGGTAAAAGGGTAATCTTGGATGGGATGAGTACCTCGGATTCGTGGACCCCCTGGAGTGTGCTTGGCTAGCCGTTCTGGGTGAGTGATCTGGTATCGACCCAGATAGAGACGGGAGGCATAGAGGGCTGAGCTGGGGGTCAAAAGGTGGGTAAGGGGCTCAGGGGTCAGCAGGGCCCAAATCTCAATGATCATGCACTCGGGGCCTCACATTAGTCACAGACCCTTTCCCAGCCCCTGCATACCCTGCAGACTTGATCTGGCTCCAGATACCATCAGTGAGGTGCACATAGATTTGGCCTTGCCCAGCAAGGGCTGAGAACACATCTTGCTCCAGGCGGATGGTCCCTGCCCCAGGCCATGAGCCTGGAGATTCCTCCCTGGCAAAGGAAGGAGGAGACATCAGTTCCCTACCTGGACCTGAAAGTGGGGTCTCTCCAGGAAGGAACTGGAGGGGCTTTCGATACCTCTCCAAGACCTTCTCTAGCTTGAGTCCTCTCTATAAAGGGCAGCTCACATTCCAGGCAACTCTCCTACCACCCTGGACTGGCTGCTCTTATAGGGGAGCCCCAGGCCTAGACCCTGATCTTCCCATCCCTGCCCCTTGCCCACCCTCCTCACATGACCCCTCCATTCACCCTCCCTCACTGGATGGAATGAAACACAGACTCACCCCAGAGCAAGGCAGCTGGTGAGGGCAGAGACAGTCACAGAGAAAGGGGGGTGGGGGGGAGATGCCAGCTCAGCAGAAACAGAGACAGAGAGGCCAGGAGAGATGTAGAGACATGGTAGGGTGAGAAATGGTTGCCAGCAAATGAATGAGGCATGAGATGGGAGCTAGGTGGGAAGGGAAGAGCTTTCAGGCTTAGGAGGGGCAATCAGGGTTCTGGGCAGCCTGAGAGAGAGAGAGAGAGAGCGAGAGAGCAAGAGAGCGAGAGAGAGAGACAGACAGACAGACAGACTGACTGACTGACTCTCTGCCTGCCTGTACTTGAGCACATGTGCACCCAAGTGTGTGCTACCGTCTGTTCCTAAAGACATCTCTGGGACACCCAGGGCTGGAGAGAAATGGACCAGAAGGGGAATGGGCAGGCAGTGACAGACAAGGAGCTGGGATGCATAAGGAAGAGGGACAGAATGAGGTTAGAAAGGGAGGGACTTAGGGAGGCTGGCCAGAGATGACTGTGGGAAAGGGCAAAGGGAGGAAGGGGGTGAGCTGGGTGACATGGGGCCTACAGAGCCCATCAGGGGCCAACGGTCTGTGACTGGGGTGCTCAGGGTTACAGGGTCATGGAGCCTGCCTCACAGTTGCCCATCCTGCTGATTACGCTGGAAAACATCCCGAAGAGGCTTCAGGGCTTCTGGGGAGAAGAGGTAGATGCCACAGTTGATGATGTCACTAATAAAGGTGCTGGGTTTCTCCACATAATGTAGGACCTAAGGATAGCAAGAGCTGAGTTCATAATGGAGGAGACTACTATCCAACACAATTTCATACTCTCTCATCTTCAGGCTGCCAGGGACAACTTACACCTTGTTCCTACCTGGCTTTACATCTCTAGAGGGTTGCCTACTCCATCCCCGCATCTCCTAGCATTCCAAGAACACAACTCCAGGCCACTGGGACACCCTTCCCCACCTCTTCCTCTGGAAAAAATCACCTTTTGAAACCCAGTTGACATTGTTACTCCCTCTGAGTCCTTTCCTGGCAGTTCCACAGTTAGCTATTAGGACTGGCACCCCTGGCCTATGGCTATACCTTACTGGGACCACTGTGTCGTTTCCAAGGATTGGATTTTGACTGTCTTTCCAGTTAGATTGAGGCTTCCTGAGAGGCAGAGCATGTGTTCTTATGGCTCTGTTTCTCTCGCACCTAGCTGGTGCCTGGCACAAAACTGTAATAGTATGTATATGTACATGTTTACATTGATGTGTATGTTTTATAT